TGTGTGAGGAGGTAGAGAAATCAGGAGTAAAATAAGCCTGGGAAAAAGGGAGAGGTGGGGGGAAGGTGTTTTAAGATTCTATTTCTTATTATCCTACTCTGATCTGATTGATAATAAATTAAACTAAGTTTGCCAAATTGAGTCTGTTTTGCCCATAATGGTAGCTGATGACGTGATCTCCTTGTCCTTATCTTGATGTACAAGGCTTTCACTATATTTTCTCTTCTCTGTGCAGCTGAGGAGGGGAGGATAGAGCAGCTTTGGTGGGCACCTGTTCTCCAGCTGGGGTCAAACTACCACAGTTATCCAAGTCCTTTCCTTTACCTCCATTTCTCTGTGTTTGCCGCATGTCTCTCTGAGGCTACAGTCACCAGAGATAACTACCAGTAGTATCTGCTGAAGCGTCTGTCCTTTCTTTATGCTAAAGGGGCACATAACAACCTGTCACTCCATTTGTGCCTGGGACTTTTTATGGCTTCTTCTAGAAAGCATGCCAGATGCAGAGGACTGGGCTTAACCTACAGCCTGGATGAAAGGTGAAGCACGTCTTACTAATGGCCACTGAAGAGGTTGGAACTGAAGTGTCAAGAGCCTGAGTCATTCTTCTCTGTGCAAACAATGCAGAGAGGGAGTGAGAGGGAGCAGGAGCAGGAGCTGCTTTACAGGATCTCTACCAACACAGGCTTTTCTTGGGTGATCTTTCAGTGGATGACAGGGCTGGTGTCGGGGCCACTCAGCACAGTGTCAAGTGAAGCTGAATGTAGACGTAAATCTGGGCCACTCTGTGTTTCAGGACTAAAACTCTAAGCTATCCAGGGCTTTGGACCTGATGTTCTTGATGAAGATGGAACAAACAGAGCAGCAATGAGGTTAGAAAGTCACTCAACATTTATTCTTCAAAAGCAGCATGGCAGCTGTGGTGCTTTTGTGTCAGCAAGACAGTTGTGTTTTATAAAATGAATTATGGGCCTGTCCCTTCCTTTTTCTTCTGTATTCCACATTCCTTTTTCCATTTTATTCATTTTAGAGCCAGACAGTGTCATCCATAGTGCCATCAAAGAGTTACTGGCTGAGCTCCTAGCATAATCTTTATTTACCTCTGAATCAGTCTTCTAAGTCTTTTCTTGTTCAAATGTTTGAATTCAGGCTTCAAGGTAAAACTAAATGTAATCATTGCACTAAATTAAATAAGAAAAGCAGCATTTATCAGTGGCACTCAGCATGGCTATCTTGTGGTGAAACTGAATAGATCTGCAGAATAAATCAAATGTATTATCTACAATGTTACTTTATTCTAAATATAATATTTTCTAAAGAAAAAGGTTTCCATCTTAATATACATTTTACTGTGATTGGTTTGTGAGAAGCTACCAGCATGAGCTTAAATCGTCTCATACCAATATGTCTGTTAATACTATTGATTTTATTAGATGTAGAAGAGATCAAAATTCAGCTAATATTAAATAGCATATAAACCAACACTGTGGCTTATTACAAATTATTATTTACAAACCAGGTTGTGATTTTTTTCCATGAAAGAAGGTTTAAGAACATTGATGTGAACTCAAGAAATAGGAAAGAGGCTCTTTCTGTATGTAAAATATGTTTGCATCTTGTTTCAGCTAGACTTTCTCTCCCCTGTACCCAAGTTCTGATGCAGGTAAAGTGAACAGGGGAGAAATGTGCTCCCCCGAAATGTTTGGAGGAAGCCACCCATGTGGCTTGAGAAATCTTGCTTTCTCTCTCACTTTTAGAGGTCTCAATTTCTGTCTGTCCTTCAAGTTACTGGAGACCAATCAATAATGAAATGGAGATGTGTTTTTCCTGCAATTTTTGCAAAATTTGTGTAATGGTTTGAAAACAAACCAGTGAGAGACTCCAAGTCAGAAATACAATTTAACAAGAAAAAAAAATTAAAAGCAATAATACAAAGGAAAACCACAGACAGGGTCAGAATACAACCTGATACTCTGTAGTTAGGGTGGTGGTAGCAGTCCAGATGAAACAGTGGTCTCGTAGAAAAGATCTGGTAGCTCTTGTCCTCTGGAAATCCAGTGGGGAAGGCCCCCTGTGCTGTACTGAACCCCAGTTTATATCCAGGTGGGAGCACTTGGCTCCTCCCCCTGGGTGGAGCATCTCACAATGGGTTGATATCAGTCTATGAGTCATGCAGTGGGTCCTTGATGGTCCATTAAACAGAAATAGCTCCTGGGGGGAGTTCTGTATGAGTCATGGGGCGAGGCATGGATGGGCCCGTTAACAGGGAGGACTCCTCCTGCTGGGTGGGAAGGTGTTAACATCTCCCCTGACCTTGAACTTCTTTCCTTATCTGTTATAGCCTGGGGTGTGAGGTCTGTCCTGGGCAGCTGCTACCCATGATTTTCTTAACAGCCCATGAGCACTGACATAGAGAGTATAGAATACACAGTTTTGGTTCTACCCACATAAGGATAAACTGGTCCCAGCCCCTGTAACCATGACAATTTGCAAATGAGAACTTTCTATAGTAAGACACCCCGAGATGTGATTTTAAAGAACATTTTTGTTTTGCTCAACTTTCCAGAGTTAGAGAGGAGCACTTGCTAGAGGTATGTTTAAAATATTTAGCAAGCAATTGTAAACATACTCCATTCACCCTTTGGCGAGATCCAGGTAGCTGTGATAAGCACAGTGCAGTACACAAAATAAGAAATCCTGCCAACAGGCAGACTGTGGATTTAGCACTAACCTGCCATACCTGGGCAGTTCCTTGGCAGCCCTGAGAATGGACAGGGTGGGCTGGTGTGTGCCTGTGAAATATCACATGAATATGAAAATTTGTCACCCTCAAAGGTCTGGGATCTGGAAAAGAATGATGCAACAAGCTAATTTATAGCTAAATGATTATTAATTTCAGTAAGGATACACCATACATCTCTTAATTTATTTAATAGAGAAAACTAATTACATTTGGTTGAGTCATGAAAGAATACAATAGCTTTTAGAATGGATAAATCCTATTTATTTCTGTCTAGAGTTTCAAAACATTTTACAGAATAATGATATTTTGGTTTGGCATATGAGGAAGTTATGTTTTAATTTTTAAAGACTATCAATGTCAAATAACCTTCAGGATTTTTTTTAATTGTAAGATTAAAAAATAATTACTTTTTATGAAGCATTCAATAAATTAATTGGCATTGAACTATTGAAATAGCTCAGATAGCATAAAAATAGGAGTGAATTGCAAAGGATGAGGACTTGCAGGGAGATTAAGAACATGGAACCTGACACAAGTGAAATTTCTGAGATGCTTTTGAGTAATACTGTAAATTTCTCTTTCAGAAATTCAGAAAATGCTATATACTTAGCACCTTAGGCCTTTTTTCAGGTCTTTCCTTCATAAAGAAAAGTTTTCTCATGGAGAGAGAGGAAGCACTCTGTCCTTTAATAATGTTGGTGCGGGGAGGGAGTTCAGGTTGCTGCTCTGTCTGTCATATGAATTCCTGATGAACAGATAATGAATACTGAATACTTCTTTTTTTTTTCCCTGGATTAAACCTTGAACTTAGCCACCTATCTCATATTTGCTTTTATATTTAATAATCAAGTTCATAGTTGGTGAGTTGGACCTGTTTCTTTTCGTAGATATGCATATATATGACACCTGCTTCCAGTGTTGGAAATCTGTGATAGTATTTGTTTCTCATACCATGATATATCTACTCTTCTATTCTTCATGAATGCGGTGCTACGATTTTTTGAAAAAACATAAATATTTTAAGACATCTGATGGAAATGAATGCCTGTAAATTGCAGGCAATCACCAGTTTATTTTGCATCTGCTTTTCAGCCTCATATTATTCACCCAGTCCAACTTTAGCTTTGACTGCTTGTTAAACCATCCCTGGCTTTGACACAGAGCCATTTCTTCTACAACAGGCTGTCAGCCTTGCTTTATCTCTGAACCTAGCAGAGAACATATTTTTTTTCATACCTGGCTCATAGTGTCTTACTTTTACTCTATAATATTATCTAGTATTTATTCTAATAATAATTAATTAAGCTCAGAAACCATTTTTTAGTCTGATTATAAGCCTTGTAAAATATAATACAATTATCCTGAACTGTGTTGTTTCATTTGTTACTCTTACTCAAAAAAAACCTGTCAAACGGCTTTCCCTTCAAACTCATGCTGGTTTCTCAAGTAGTAGCTAGGTAATGAAAGTACGTCGAAAATGAAAAAAATTTCCTCATAAAATGATGAAGCCCTGAACTGATGAACTTAAAATTTATGAATATTTCTTATCTGGTAAACTAAACTGAGCTACTTGAGTTATAGTCCATGAGTAACTAAGAAGGGGACCCAAAAAATCTATATACGCATAAAAAAGTATCAGCTTTATTAGGAAAGGCTAAAATGGTTCTGTAGTTGATACTCAGGTGACCAGAATAGGCTTAAAAATTTTTTTCTTCAAAGGGTGGAATAAATATGTATTAATATATGCTGAAATCTGTAAGGACAGTTATCTTAAAAACAATCTATTGAATGATCTGTATTCAGTCATTGTGTGTCACAGTTTTTAAAAGAACTACTAGCTAAAGAGCTAAAGTTATCTGGAACGCATACAAGGTAGTAATATATTATTGACTTTGCTGCAGACCAGTCCAGAGATAAATCATCTATTAAAAGTTCTGAATATTTTAATCTTTACTCCTGGTTTATCACCATTAAGACCATTCACTTTCTGCTACTCTCCGTCTCATTGATGGAAGGTTTCTTACCTATATTTACAGTGATAAAAGGCTTCCTGAAATTTTAAGATGTTATGTGAATCTCAGGACTCTAGCTATGTCGTAACTGGATTAAGTTATAGTAGCTTTTTCGAAGTAATGAATATTTTGCTTATCAGGAAATATCTACAGATTAACAAAATGCTATTTATATTTCCAGATGCAACCTTTGCTTGCCTCAATATTTCTACCTTTTTTTTTTTTTCCCCAGGGTGCAGTATAGAACTATGATAGCAACCGGTGGAGTCATAACAGGACTGGCTGCCTTAAAAAGGCAAGACTCTGCCAGATCTCAGCAACATATAAATCTTGCCACAGCACCAGCTTCTGAGGAGAAGAAACCAGTTAGACGTCGGCCCAGGGCAGATGTCGTAATTGTCAGGGGCAAAATCCGTCTCTATTCTCCATCAGGATTCTTCCTTGTTTTGGGAGTGCTTATTGCATTCTTTGGGATTGCAATGGCCATCCTTGGGTACTGGCCCCAAAAGGAACAGCTTTTATCATCTGAAGATGATCTATCTGTAAATGAAACCCAGGTCCTAAGAAGCCAAGGAAGCGTTTTACTTCGTTTCTTTGAACAGCACGTGCACTCAGATAAGATGAAAATGCTGGGCCCTTTCACTATGGGCATTGGAATTTTCATTTTTATTTGTGCAAATGCCATTCTGCATGAAAACCGTGACAAAGAAACAAAAATCATACACATGAGAGACATATACTCCACTGTAATAGACATCCACACCCTGAGGATCAAGGAACAAAAGCAGCTGAGCGGTGCCTTCACCGGCTTGTTGGGGGAAGGGGAACTCAGGCACAGCGGGAGCTCGTGTGCATCACAGCTGGCTGCAAACACGGTTGCACCTTTCTCTGGCTTCAAGAGTAATTTTAGAATGGATAGTTCCGCTGAAGAAGATGAGATTACCCTAAATGAAGATAGGAGCACTGGTAGCCTCCTGCCACCTCTGCTGACTGAGCAATCTGGTTCGGTCTTTGGACTTTACCCTCACTCCAGTAAGGCTTCAGATGACAAAAACACTAGTTCTATAAAATGTGAAACAAAATCCATTGTATCATCTTCTATTAGTGCTTTCACACTGCCAGTAATTAAACTGAATAACTGTGTTATTGATGAGCCCAGTATAGACAACATAACTGAGGACTTGGAGGTCGCTAGGATTCAGTCTAGAAATCTGTCGATGGATTCTCTGGCCATTCCACTAACTGATACCAATGAATCCTACAGACCAGCTGCTACTGTGCTGCCCCGACATAATTCATTTGTGGACACTCCCTCTGATCAGTTCAAATCTTCTATGGCTCTTGGACCAAGCACAGGAAAGCTTTTATCCCCTGGCGCTGCCAGGAAACAGTTCGGGTCCAACACATCTTTGCACCTTCTCTCTTCACATTCAAAGTCCCTGGACTTGGACAGGGGTCCGTCTATGCTCACTGTCCAAGCTGAGCAAAGGAAACACCCCAGCTGGCCCAGGCTGGATCGGAGCAACAGCAAAGGATACATGAAACTAGAAAACAAAGAGGACCCAATGGATAGGTTACTTGTTCCACAAGCAGCAGTCAAGAAGGACTTCACTAATAAGGAAAAGCTTCTTATGATATCAAGATCTCATAATAATTTGAGTTTTGAACATGATGAGTTTTTGAGTAACAACCTGAAGCGAGGAACTTCTGAAACAAGATTTTAATATTTAAATTGCAATTTAGAAGATGTCCTACAGTATTTTTTAAAATAACCCATTTTGACAAGTGTTTCCTTTTCATTGAGACTAGTACAAGCCTGTTTTTTAACCAAATGCTTAACAGCCCATTAAAAATTGCTTGTGAGAACAGAGATATTCCTCATCTTTGTAATGCCAAGAGTTTTTTGTCTTAGTAACATACAGCTGCAATACTGTACATTATCATTGCTCAGAGAGTTTTGGTATGACTGATTCCAGTTTTTCCCAAGTCATTATTTCTTTTGTTCTATATAAGCATGTTGCTTTTTATCAATTGACTCTAGAAGCCTGTATTAGAAAAAAAAAAAGCTCCGTTTACCTGTAAGTTCTGTTTATTTAATGACTGCAAGAGTCTAAAACTGGTGCTTGCGGTCTAGAATGGGAAGTAAGCGGGTGCACATACTGGAATTGTCAAATCCAGGCCTTTGTCCTAAGTGTTATTTTTCACATACAGTACATCTCAGTCACTGGTGTCTTTCCATTGTCATTGTGAGAAACTTGCTTACGTATTGGGGTGGTTGGATAGAAAAGAGCGAGTATAATTAAAACCATTTTTGTAAATTCATTGTAACTGGTCAAGTTGAATACAAGTGTTGTGGACTATTAACTATGCTTTGTAATACAATCTTTCTACATCCATTGAAATTTAATCCTGTAGTTCTGGGAAAACATATATAAAGTAAGAAATATGAAAATCCTTCTGGGATTGGTTCTCTAAACCACTTTGATTTGCAACAATTTTAAAATAAAAATATACAGATTCAATTGAAATCACAGGAACATGATTGCCGACAGAATTTTGGAAACATGGTGTATAATAAGATGATATTGTGACATATGTCTGAAGAGAATACCGGAAAATGAATATTTTGCCTCTCATTATAATAACAAGAAGCTAAATAGATTATGTTCAAAATACTGATACAAAGCATACAATTTAATACATACATTAACACAGTGTGAAAGCCCCTTCCCTAAATTTTGATTTATATATTTCACATAATATTGATGTGATGGTTCACTGGAGGCTTAGCTGTGGTAATTTGCAGTACAAGATTTTGCAAAAGGAAATGACATTTAAAACAATGTTTTTCTCAGCAAAGCAAGCTTCACAGTTGACAGTTGTAGGCTATTGCCAAAGAAAATGAGAATTTCAATGTGCATACCAGAAGGTTTTTATGTATTTCACAAAGGTATTTAGGCCGTGATCCTGCCATGACAGCCATGCTAGACAATGTCACTTCAAGCTGCAAGGCTCACCTAACAGGTTGTTGGTCTTAATTGGTCTTTTTTGATATTATCACTGAACCTAAATACTCAGGAATTATTTTTAATGGGTTTTCCCAAAAAGAATCAAACCTGTTAAAATGTCGTTGCTTTTCAATTGCTTTGGTTATGAAAGATCAAAGATAAAAATACCCTCTCTTTTTTTTTTTTTTCAATATTCAGCTCCATATTTCAACTGTGTGATGTTTATGTATCAGGAGCACTACTTGCTCAGTGAATTAAGGCATAGTGTTAACTGTTAGAACCTCAAGCCTATATATTGTAACAGAGTTGGCTCAATATTTTGCTATGAAGCTTTTAATAACTTCCTGGTTTGCGTTCTTAAGACATTTGCTATTTTTTGAAATAAAATAAAATGGCTATGTGCATATATCCACTGTAAGACCCATTTTTCCTCTGTGATCTCAAATCTTCCATATCAAATTACGATTTAGCGTCACAACACAATAGGTAACATTGTGCTTAATATATTAACCTGCCACTAGATATTTGGCTATGACTAATTGATTTTGATGACATGTAGTCATGTAAAGGCTGATTTTTTTCCCCATGTAATATGAAATGTATTCAAAATGGTTTTGATATAAGGAAATTTTTGTACTAAAATAACGTCCTGTTCTTTTTAGTTTGGCAGTAACCATTATAAAAATGAAAAACACTATTGAAGGCATGAATAATGTAAGCTTTTATTTCCTTAATAGCTACATTAAATCATAGCTTAAAAGGATGGTTTTTGAGTACCATCATATGTATGAATAGCAGTCCTTTTGTAAGTATAGCATGAGCAGTACCAGATAGCTGGTACTGAAAAATGTACTTATTTTGGAAAAATTTACCCAATTTGAAGACCAAGGTAAAGCTGCTGACTTAAAGCAAGAAATCAAAATAGCACCATATAAAGAAACTCTGTGGTTGATAGACCAACTACAAAAATATTCCTGAATTACCCCAAAATGGAACATTTTGATCAACTAATCACAGGATAGTTGAGGTTGAAAGGAGCTTCTGGAGGTCATCTTGTCCAAAGCCCCTGCTCAAACAGGGCCACCTAGAGCCAGTTATCCAAGACCATGTCCAGGCAACTTCTGAGTAATCCCAAAGATGGAGACTCTACAACCTCCCTTGGCAACCTGTGCCAGTGTTCAGTCAACCTTCATAGTAAGAGGGTGTTATCTGATGTTCAGAAGGACCCTCCTGTGGTTCAGTTTATGGCCATTGTCCCTTGTCCTGTCACTGGGCACTAGCTCTTTTCAGAGACTGGCTTCTTTTTTTGCACCCTCCTTTAGGTATTTATACACGCTATTAAGATCCCCCTGAGTCTTCTCTTCTCTAGGCTGCACAGTCCCAGCTCTTTCAGCCATTCCTCATAGGAGAGATACTCCAGAACATTCATCATCTTTGTGGCCCTTCACAGGTCTGGCTCTAGTATGTCCATGTCTGAACCCTTTGCAATACATGGGGAGAGTTAGGAGCCTTACAGTGGCCATGTACTGTTGGTGAGTAAGAAACTGGTGAGCACAGGAGCATGTCTTAAATAAATAGTGTCTTTAGGGCATAAGTATCATATTCAATCTGTTGCTGATACAGTTCACCGACCTTTTTTTAAAATTTCGTTTTCATTATCAACACTCTGTGCAGACTTACAGTGAGTTGCTCTGGTAAAAATGCAGGGGGAAAAAGAAGCTAAAGATAGGAAGTTTTAAACTAGTTTTGTCATCAGAGAAAATGATTGTATAGCTATACCACAAGCCTTTTCATGGAATAAGAAGCTAAACCTTACATCTATCCAGAGAAAGTGTTGTGGTACTGTATCCTGTGTATGTAATAACTCCAGAAAAAAAAAAAAAATTATATCATGCAAGCAATGATTCTGGTCCTTCTGCATAAGACCGTTAAAAAAACCCCAAGAACAAATCAAAAACATTTCGTGCCTCTCAGTTAAGTGTCTTAATCACTACCTGTGGACTAGACTGATGTTAAGGTCTGTCCCTCCCTCCTGGGCGAAGCTGTTTTACTCTGTTCTTTTATTGGGCAATTTTCCTCAGGAAATGAAGAGCGTAATTGCAGTGATGGGGCAGAAATGCTGGGTTACATTGTCTCTTCCAGGATTCTTTCCATATTTTGCATGAAATATTTGCTGGATAAAATCCCTGAAACAGGCACTGGATTCTTACCAGGTTGATACTCATAACCTCTCCTCTGGGGTGGATTTACTCTCCCTGTGAGCCAATGAGCCCAGCTCTTCCATGCAGAGCAGTGCGGAGTTCAGGAGGGGCTGGCAAATGCTCCAGCTGCTCGAGTGGATAGGAAGGCACAGGTTTTCTCAGCAGCAGAGGGACTTTGGCATGGTGTTCCCCATCCTGACGGCTGCTCTAAGGCTTGGGCTGTGTGAAGGGTGGAAAGGCCAGCTGCCATCACCAGTTGGGTTTTGAAAGAAAGTGAAATTTAATGTTATAACGAGCTGAATTTTTGAGGCTGCTGGTTTTGGAGGTGGGCATTTACATCTGTACCACTTCATATATTTGGCAGCTAAGTAATTTTTCTGCAACCATATCAGAATGCTTTTCTTAGACCTAGAGATGACAGCATTACTAGTCCTGTAGTTTCTGCTGAGTGAAATTTGGGGAATAGTTTTAACCTATGGCAGCAGTTTTCTCTCTGAAAAGCTTTTCAGGCAGCTTGTAGAGTTCCTAGATTGCTTTAGTCTTATGCTCTTAAGTTCTTTCCATGAGTCTTTTTCTGACTCTTTCCACTGATTTCTGCCTTCATCTTCTCACCACTACCTTTTTTTGGTTAATTTTCCTACCAAACACATGATGAGGAGCAAGTAGAAATTTTTTAGCAAGACTGTGTGCATGAATATATGGCAATGCAAATGGAACAAATGGTCTATTATAATGTAGGAGTGTTTCAATTAGTATGATTTAACTACTAAAGGGCAGGTTCATGCTCTTTGTTTAAACCTTTTCAAATTAAACTCAGGAGCAAATTAATTGCAGTTATCACAGTTATCCCATATTTAACTTTCAGGTCACATTTATTAACTCTTTCATCAATGTTCTAGGTATGGCAGTCTTGAGGTTTGTGTTTTAGGACTCCGTATTTCAAATTAACCTCACTGATGTATTTTATGCGTTCACTAAAGCCCAATTTTTAATAGTATTACTTGTCTGAATGACAGTTGGCAGAATTAAAACACTGAGTTTCATAAGGGATGGAAATTTTATAGTTACAATACATTTCTTTTAGAATAGCTTGTTGAAGCTGAAATATAGGAACCCACTGTTTTAAACAAGAACTTGTATGTCTAATCCGTTGTCTTGGTTCTAATTCAGATAGGTGATTTACAATCACTGTGAATTGTCCATATGAAGAATCATAAAACCATTGTTGTCCCTTATCAAGTTTTATTCCAGCTGGTGTAATTATTCAGGGTGGCATTCACAGAAAGATCTGATCAATTTCTGAATTCCCACTAATACTTTACTAATACTGTTTTTGCAAATTAATCATGAGTTGTCAATAAATATATTACCCTTATAATTTGGAATTTCTTGTCACCATTTTAATTTCATTGCAACAGCCAACTGCTCTCTCATTAAAAAAATGTACCAGGAATAACCTGATAACTATTGTAAATATATTGATATTTCTTTTTTTTTTTTTTTGAATATTTAAAG